TATATATATATATATTAATATATTATATATATTATTATATATATATCAATTGAAGTAGCGTATCTCACCCTGCTTTTAGCTTCAAAAAAACTCTCAAAAATTGCCAATTTCCCATTTTCCAATTTCTTGCATACCAATAATGTATTATGACTTTTATAGTAGACATCTCTCAGAATGAAGCAATGTAGAAGAGAATGAAACGTGCAAACATCCAAATGCTACTGATTAAAAAAAAAAGATCTGGATTTTATGTGCATTTCCTTGCATTTTGCGTTTTTCATTTCAGGCATGGAAAATAAAAAGGACCAACAAATAACTAAGACATTAACTCACAATCCAAATATAGATTTAATAATAATGAAGGAAAATAGAGACCTGATTCATTCTGATAATGTTTAAACAAATTTAATGTAAACTGTCAAGCATCAAGCATCTAATACTTGGAACATGTAATAACATAACATCCTAGATTTGTTGAGTACTGAAAAAAAGGGTTCTAAAATGCTAAGACACATTTTATATGGAAGAAATAGACAAAGGTGGTCCAAGGATTGACATCTTCTATTTTGTCATTGATTACGTAAGAGGTCATATACTCTGGCTTAGTCAGAGAGAGAGAGAGAGAGAGATCCTTCTAACATCTATTGCACCTTTATTTTTTTCTCAAAAGATTTTCATCCAATCAATACCCATCCAATAACTATTTTTTATTTCCATTAACTAATGAAAAAGAAGAGTAGTCAAATTATGTAATTGTATGCAAGTCTCTCAATCGATAGATCGTTATAATATAACACATGCTTACTCCAATGATAAAATGCATAACACATGCATCCTACCCTTTCAAATAGGATCAAAGTAGTCCAAATACTCCAAAATTATAATATGGGTACATCATTTTTTTAAAGAGTGATTTTGAATAGAATATAAGGATAGGCTACCTAATAACTATAGTAACAATATGCAAGGATATCTCCACAGATAATATCGAGATATGGTAAACACATTTAAGAAAGTACGAGATTGTTTGTGTTTAAATTATAACCAATAGTGTTAAGACTATTCAAATATGAGACAAAAGATTGAACGCACAAAACCTGAAGTAATGGATTAAGCATCTTGATCTGACTAATTTTCCTCTCTAGTTAGCATCAGAACTTTGTGGTGTACCAAACAGCTATATTTGCCATGTGTGAATGTCTCCCTATTCCCTGCATTTTTTATTGTCAGATGCTCAGGTTCTCAAACAGAAAATATGCAAACCAATTGGACACAAGGTTATCGAACTTTTGTACATAAGGAAAATCTTTCGCCCCACGTTGCTCAGCTGTGAAGGCTCACGATTGGAAATTAACCGCGCTAATCTATTTGAAACTAAATTGATTTAGAAAGATGAACCTATCTGAGTCAGGAGTCTAAGCGTCCTTAACGACATTCTACCTATTTTTTCCAATGAGGAAGTAAATCTCACTGATATAGACATGATTGCCTGACCAAACTTAACACTTAAACTAAAATAAATGTGACACTCCTAGCACCTTACTTCACCAAAACTTCAAAGTTACGATTTAGATAAAGCATGTATCTTAAGAAAAACTCTACTTACCAAAGCATGACAGCAGAGGCGAGGGAAAGGCGAACAAAGCCCCAAAGACTATGAAATGCTTTCCAAGAAAACCCACTCCATGTTCTCCCACAAGCCCCACAAAATATGTACACGAGCTGAGCAACCACAATGAACCACCAGGACGCATTAAGCACGACCGCTGCACCCACGAGCCCCCACCCGAGCTTCAATATCACCAACCAACTGAAGAACGTGTGTAGAAGTAAAGCAGCTGCGGAGATTGCGGCCATGACCATCATCTTGCTCTGCGCTTGTAGGAACTTTGATATGGGGAAGTTCATTGAGTAAGCATAGAGCTGGGGGATCATCCACAAGGAGAATTTTCCCGCTGAGGCTGAGATTGCCTCGGTCTGGCCAATGACACGGAGGATGAGGCCAGCAAAGATGTAGATGGGGGTTAGGAGGAGGGATGTGGTATTGAGGATCACCCATGAGCGTTGCATGTAGATGCCTAGCATATCGAGTTGCCCTGCACCGTATGCTTGGCCACATAGGGTTTCTAGTGCACTTCCCATACCCAACTGAACCAAACAGATGCAACTACAGATCAGATACAAGAACTATCAACTGAATGTTTTTTTAATTACATGATTTGATGACTGTCGTTGCAGATGAAAAAGAAAATCAGTGAATGTAGCCTACTCGACGAACCAAACAAGTGCAACTATAAATCAGATAGAACAATTTTTTTAGGTATAAATTTTGATGATTGTCATTTCTGATGAAAATAGATAATCAGACATAATTAACAAGCATTGGCGTCAAAAATCTGCATCTCTACAAGGAAAAGTGTGTTCTGCTACGTAGCAGATATTGACCAGATTCACCAAACGGAAAGGCATATTCAATGCAAAGATGGGAACAAATCAATTTAATGGTTGTCACACATTTTGGCACATGGTTTTACCATTCACTGATTGGTATGATTTGCTCATTGAATCAGTCCTAAATACCTTATATGGAGAATCAGGTTGTGTGTAAATAGTGGTGAATTTGTACAATAAAACACACACAAAATACAACAAACATTCTACAAATTTTTTTCTCTTCTTGTGCAATTCTTTCAGAAGAATAAACTTAAAGACTTTCTCTACAATATCAAAGAACGTCTAAATTTACATTACTCCATGTGTACAACCAGAAAATCATAATAGTACTAATTATCAGGCTTAATTACTATCTACACGTTTTGTATCCTCTCTTCTATAGAAAAGCAGTAAATAGACAATTACTTTTTATCAACATTGAGTACGCCATCTCTTCAACATTTTTTCACAATTCATGACTCGTTAGGGAGCCCCGACTTCTCCCTTTCGTGTGAGAATAAAAAAAAATATGGTCTAGTTAGTTAGTATTATTCTAATTTTTTTATTATTCAGTTATCCTCTGTGATCTATATTGAGTAAGAAAGTTTGGAATAAGTACAATATGGAATTATATTATATATATATATATATATATATATATAGAGATGAGAGAGAGAAGAAGGAGAGAGAGAGATTAATGGGTATCATTGTCATAGGAGGGGATTTTCTCCTTGACGCCCTATGTGGCATAATGCCCACCATCCTTATAAAGTAGGGAGAGTGTGTGAGTTGGTGGAGATTTATGCCTACTTATGAGGATGGTGGGGATTGTGCACATAGACGACAAAGAGGGAAATCCTCTCCTATGACAAGGATACTCATTAATCTTTCAATATATCATATAATATATATATTATATATATTTATATATATATATATATATATATATATATTTATATATATATATTTATATTATATATATAATTAATTTTCCTAGCTTTTATAGGAAAAGGAAACTAAATAAATATAAAAACACTAAATTTAAAAAAAAAATAAGTATTCTTGGTTCCAAGAATAAAATTGACTCTTGATATACATAGTAAGCTTAACATTTCTCATTCACACCTTTAAAGGTTCCTAATTCATTCGGTAGTTGGATGAGTAGTAACCTTCTCAGTGTCACGTTCCTCTTCATAATAATACCATTTTCTATTAAAAAAAGGAAAAATTATGACAAGACCCCAAAAACGAATAATTCACGTAGCCCAGCACCCCTTATTATTTTCTGTGTATTGGCGCTAAATACAATGGGCTTTTGTGATTCATCCCCTATTTACACTGCCCAAGAAATAAATTCCTAAAAGATTCCAAAAATACCCTTCTTCTTCTTCTCTGTTTATCTATTTTTCTCATGAAGACCACAACTGTTCCTCCCTCTCTCTCTCCTCTTCTTCTCCTTTCCCTAATCCTAACCTTCCTCCTCTTTCCCTCTTACTCTTTTCCCCTACGACCTTGCCATCTCCCTCTCCTTCCTCCCCCTCTGCACCATCGTCACAAAACGTACCCTATGACCCTGTTGTCTCTCTCTCCCACCCCACCCCCCCCCCCTCCTACTAGTGAAAGGTTTTTGTTCCACCTTCTACCTTAATCAACCCCCTCCTAGTCTGTGATGACATCAATAACAGTGCACAAGCCTAACCCCAACCTCCTCCGTCGTTAACAGCATCACCTACTTCCTCTCCCTCCTCTGCTCCGCCTTCATCTCAGTCTTCAGTAACTAGAAGCCCAGCGTTGACATCCCCTTACGTCAATGAGATCAATAGGGTCTACGATAAAATATGTCAACATTTTTTAGTTTAATCCTAAGTTGTACCTTTGTTACTGCAAATATAGTTTTTATTTGTTATAATTGTGCTCTTTTAGAACTGCCCACAATGTATTTATTGTTTTGCTTCAGCAAGAGAACTTGGCGTATTTTGAATTTAAAATTAAAAAATAAATTAATCTTATTATGAAAATCATGAAATTATTTATATATATACAAATGAAATAAAATTGAAGTTGAATTCAATTGAGATGATTGTCCATTGACCTCATTTTGTTACGTTTTGGATCATCATATCCAATACATGTTAACTTTAGTCAGTACATGTTAACTATATTCACTATGTGTTAACTTTAGCTAGTACATGTTAACTAAATCTGATATTTATTAACTTTAACTAGTACATGTTAACTATATTTTATACCCGTTAACTTTAGTCATTACCCGTTAACCATATCCAGCACCTGTTAATTTTATCTAGTACCAGTAAACTATACTTAGTACCTGTTAACTTTGCCCAATACCCATTAAATGTTTATTAACTTTAGCTAGTAACCATTTATTAACTTTAACCAGTACCTTTAACTATATCTGATATCTATTAAATATACCCAGTACCTGTTAACTTTAGCAAGTACCTATTAACTATATCTAGCATCTCTTAAATATTTTTATATATTGTCATATTAGCTCTAATATCGCTGAGTCTTTTGACAACTAAAATGCTTATTGTTAGATTAAGTCTATTGGGTATTGGGTTAATGGGTTGTGACCCGTTAACCATACCCCTATTTGTATGACTATATATATATCTCTAGTATCTGAATAAATTAATAAAGTTAGGGTTTTGCTCTCTCTATTATCTCTTTCTATATGGTATCAAAGCATGAAACCCTAGCCGCCACAAATCCTCATTCAAAAACCCTAGCCGCCGTCGCCTCTTCTCCTTGCCACCGGCACTACAG